AGAAAATTTTTGCATTATTTCCATTCAATCTGCAATTTGCAAGTTATTCACTTGCTCTGCCTTTTCCCAAGTGATCAAGCACAGCAGTCACTTACTATTTTCATTGTTCTCCTTTATCCAATGCATACAAGACGTAACCTATAATACCTTGAGCATGTCCGGAGGACTTTACAGATATACAGCAGAGCATATATGTGGGTAATATCTATACACTCTTAAGAATAATGATTGAAGGTTGTGATAGGTAAAGCCAAAAAGTGCTAAGCGGAACTTGCAAATCATCCAAATCATCATAGAGGTATAAAATCAGAGTCATAACAAGAGAAATGAAAAACACCTGACCCTTGCAGAGAAAAAGTACAGACTGAGCTAGTCTTATTTGGTGGATTTAGGATCGTTCTTGGAAGTGTAATCAGGAGGGGAATAGATAACAGCTGCGGCCATGGCCCCAGGAAAGACCACGTACTTGGCCAAGGCTGCCAGTTTCGTCACTAGTGGCTCTCCCCTCATCAATGCCATTCCTCTGCTTAGATCAGAGTCTGTAACACTTCCTTCAACCAAATGCATGCACTTAAACTCAAATGTCCAAAGACACACAATAAAACTAAATATAAAACAAAGGTAAAACATAATATTTTCTGGAACCTAAAAATTGTTGTTGTTGTTGTTGGCTTTATTTTCTCAAAAACTAAATGCATAATATGTAGACCAATACACCAATATTACACTAACAAAATGAATAAGCAAGAGTAACAACATGTGATTGCAAACACTGAAAAATCAGCAATCCATTTGGAGTTCCAGGGGGGTAATTTCAGTGTCCATATCTGAAGTCAATCATGTGAAAGCGTATACAAACTCAAACAATAATCCTCTGTAATAGCCTACCATATCACAAAATGTAATATCAATTCTTTTAATCCAGTTTTAGTGCCATCTTAGAACAGAAGAGGACACTGAGTTGTGAGTTCTCATTGAAATGTCTTGGAACATCCATGTTGAACAGAAGGATACATTGAACCACAATATTCATTTCAAATACATGGTAAATAGGTCCTACACGTAACACAAGTTGGTAATCTTGACCCAACAACAGACCACCACCAAAAAGAAGTTTAAAATCAAAACCATATCTAGTAACGGACCAGATAATAAGGGGGGCAGCTACAGAATCCCATTAATCTTAAAAAAGTTTCAACCTTTCTAAAACAAGAATATAGCATGAATGCATGTATAATCTAACATCATAACTTACTAACTTCAAGCATTCTTTCCTTTTTGTCACTTTTATGTAATTAATGGTGAACTTGTAATACAATCTCAAACTGTATGTTACTCTGCCGGAAAGGATCATCTCAAACTGTATGTTACTATGTAGCTAGGTATCCAGAACATTTTGCTGCTACAATGGCAATGATAGGTAAACTAAGCAACCTTAATAATTAAATGCACACCAAATTCTTTTTTTAATTGAAGAATAGCTGACACCCAAGTCTCAAGATACGAATCAGATATCATTTCTGTGGGACATTAGTTTGCATGTAAAAACTCGAGGGCATAGGGTGATAAAGAGCAAGTACAATCTGGTGGCAAATGGTTGGGATGCTAATTGTCCGAGTCGAGGCTCGAGCAGGTGTCCCTGGACAGACATCTCGGCTGGTTACCCTCCCTTTCTTCACTCATGCAACTTCGAGGTTGGTAACGGAGAGAGGCTGAGATTCTGGGAGGACGGTTGGTTGGAGGGCAGTCCGTTGAAGGAGCAATTCCCTAGATTATTTTCTTTATCAAGGACAAAAAACCAAAGTATTTCCAATTTGGTAGCTTCTTCTTTACAGCCGGTCAGTTGGAATTTAGAGTTTAGGAGAAACCTAAGAGAGTCGGAGATTGAAGAGGTGGCTGGTTTACTGCAGAAGGTGGAGTCCGTACGGCTGTGCCATTCTAGAGAAGACAGGAGAAGATGGAATTTAGAAGGCTCTGGCCAGTTCACTTGCAAATCCTATAACTCTTTCCTTTGCAACAATGATGTTGTGCAACAATTTCCCCCTTTCGCTCAGATATGGAAAGCAAAAGTGCCTCCAAAAGTCAAAATCCTTGTGTGGCTAGTGGCGCTCGGGAAGGTTAATACTTGTGATCAAGTCCAAAGTCGAATGCCTTTTGCATGCTTCTCCCCCCATTGGTGCACTTTGTGCAAATCCGGGGAGGAAAGCGCCAACCATGTTTTCCTCCATTGTCCGTATAGCATTCAACTCTGGTGGAAATTGCTCAAGGAAGCCAGAGCAAGATGGGTCACCCCAAGGGGTTGTTTTGAGCTCCTAAGCACTAAATTCGAAGGCCTAGGGAAAGGGAGGAAAGCCAAAACTTTGTGGGGATCTCTGTTGATGGCCCCCTTCTGGAACATTTGGTTGGAGCGTAATAAAAGAGTCTTTGAGGATTACAAGGGAGTGGGGGTTGAGGAGCTTTGGGATAGAGTAAAACACTGGGCAGCCCTTTGGGCTTCGGTTTTAGCGGAGTTTAGAGATTACAATTTCTCTTCTATTTTTAGGGATTTGTTAGCAGCCGTTATTTGATTTGGTCTAGCTTTTCCTCTGTTCAATTAGTTTTCTTTAGGGGTCCTTGCTAGTTCTCTGATAGCCCCAGGTGGATATCTTTTCCACGTGGTTAACTTTTTCTCTTTTGTAATTCTTTCGTTTTATAAAATTCTATCGTTTCTTTTCAAAAAAAAGAAATACAGTCACAGTGCCAATGTTATTTGGGAGAGGACATAAGGGCAATGTCTATGAATAATGCCCTCTGTCCAGGACCTCTTAAGGCACATTGCACTTTTTTCATAAGCAGATAAACCTTGAAAGTGTAAATTTCAATACTAGACTATAACTGAGCACTTGAATAGAACTAAACTGGTCCAGGACCTCTTAAGGCACATTGCACTTTTTTCATAAGCAGAAAAACCTTGAAAGTGTAAATTTCAAAACTAGACTATAACTGAGCACTTGAATAGAACTAAACTGGTAATGCAATCATCACAACGATGATCGTTCATGTGTTTGTTTCTCACTCCTGCCAACTGAAACAAGTTTTGGTACTCCCAATGAAGTAGGTTATGTTCTGTTCTTTACAAACTAACCGAACCAATCCCATTGGCAAAGTGATCAGCTTTACTTGGCTGGTTTGATCGGTTGCAAATTACACTAATCATCAACCTAAACACCTTAAAAATGAATCCATAAATTTATACTAATCATCAAACAATATAGCCTACAAACAAACAATTAGAAATTTACACCATCAACCTAAACACCTTAAAAATGAATCCATAAATTCGAAGTAAGAAACCAATCAAACAATTAACCAAAAGCATACAAACCCAAACCGAAACCGAAAACAAGAACAAAAAAGAAAATAAACCAGATACAAAATCATTTTGAACCCAAATAATACTAGTAAATTTTAACGCTCAAGCTCGATCTGAATTTTAAAGCATGTTAAATTCAGTTAATACTAGTACTGACAAACAAAAAAATTGCTTTGCTCGATTTCAAAATTCATTTGAAATTTTTTTCAATTTATTCTTTCCCCTTTCCAGAGAAACAAAGTTTAATTATTAACGAAATTTATAAATACAATAGGAGAGAAAAATAGAGTATACGATTACCGAGTAAGAAGGAGAAGATGAAACCGTGGTGGCGGTGACGGTGGCGGTGGTGATTGAGAGGAGGGGTGCGGAGGGCAGATGATTGGAGATGGGGTAGGTTGTGTGTACGTAGGCTCGCTCTAGACTCTAGATCCTGGGTTTTGTATCGTGTTAAAATTCTATTTTGCCCTTTTCCCAAAAAAAAATAATAATAATAAAAATTCTATTTTGCCCCCCGCAATTTGCTGTACCCACCTCGCAACTATTCTTTCCACTTCAAATATTTCCAATTTCACCATAAAATTCAATTTCAAGAAAAAAAAAAAAAAAGGCTTTTCCGATTAATAATACAAATTGATGGACCATTTGGAATGTTTTTAAAATGACGAAAACGCTTTTGGTTAAGTATTTTGGGCCAATGCACTGTCCATGGTGGCCTGATGATGAGTGAGCGGTGTGTTTTCCATTGCAGGGACGAGGGCTGTCTTTTAGGGGTAGCAGAGGAAAATGAGCTAGGAAAATTTTATATGAATTCATATAACTTTTTTCTACACCTAACTTACATTCTAAATCCATATATTTTTTTTAATTAAACTATCAATATCTCTTTAAATCCAAATTTATTATCTAAACTACCCTCACAAATCCAATTCAATATGTAAATTTATCTTTACACCCATTTAGAAAATAAAAATCTAAGATAATGTCTTGCAATTCATTTAAGGCTTAGCAATCAAGTCAATCAGGTTTACAACTGTGAGTGATCATTCAAAAGGGGTAACTGGCTCATTGGCTTGTTTGACTAATTCACCACTCACATATTGTAGTCTCTCTCCAATGTCATTTCATTCATGAATGTTATGCAACTCGCTCAATCTTCCTTCTCTCCAATGTCATTTCATCTATGAATGTTCTGCAACTCATTCAATCTTAATACAAAGTAGGTTTGTGCAACTCAATACTAAATTTTCCTGTCAATGATTGATTGGGCAACCTTTTCCTGTTGTCCCATCGATTCTCAACCTCTCCCTGTTGTCCAATCGATGTTGCAAAGAAAGCTGAGATTGATCTTCGCAAATTATGATTCTTGGTTTTATTGTTTTTCTGTTGTAAGGCATGCCTGATTACTCATCAAACTACTTTTTGTTTCTATTCTACCCAAATATTGTGTTCAATCTTGATTGAGCTTTAGTTTTCACTAAAAAATGTGTCTACGCTTCGCTGCGAGGGTTGAATGCATTTGTTGTGAGCATGAATAATTTCCACAGAAAGTGGTAGGAACAAAATCACATTCTCAAATGTGGCAATTCAAATAACATATATTTGAGCTGAGTGAATCCACAAAATCACCAATCAACCTAGGCATCGTATCAATAATTGAAAATTTATCTATTTTTAGCAGAGGTATTTTAACAACAATTCTGTGAGTGGTTGATTGGCCCGGTGGGGAGGATATTTCTCTTAGCCCCACTGCATCCCGGATTCAAAGTTCTAACCATCCCCCGTTCCCTTGGTGTAGTTTACAGTATAAATAGCACGTTTTAATAACTAAAAACATCAATTCTGATCATCCCTGCCGGTTTAAGCACACTAAAGGCCAAATTTAATATGTTCTGCCTTCAGCCACCCAACCCCAGCAGATTCTTATACAAAATCCGAGACTAAGTTCCTAACAGAAACATTACCTGTTTTAGCTTTTTCCATAGCTGGCTGTCCAACAACACGCATCATGATAAACCCCCCACCAATATCAACCAAAGGTAATTTACACTGACCCACTGTCTTCATTTTCTCCAAAATCTTGCCAAAACTCATCTGTTTCACTTCATTCGCCCTACTTCGGCATCATAGTCTTGCCTACCAAACAATCAAAAGGGCAATCCAAGAAAATCAAAACAAAGCTGCAAACACAGTGAAAATCATATTAAAAAAAGGAGCCAAATTACAAATTTGTGACTGAATCCACAACTTCTAGCAAATTCTGATTTCCCAAATCGAAATTATGTTGGGATTTCATCTAATTATTAATAAAGTAATCAAGATACAACTACTAAGTTCTCCTTGATTGGAAGATTTGACGATAATACTTTAGAAAAACTCATAAGATATACAAATTCTTGCTTTGGTTCGGTTTTGGTTTATTTTCTCCTTCCCAAATTTTTTCTCTTCGGTTTACGAGATGGGATTTTGGTTTTGATTACTGGACCGAAACCAGCCCTACGTATAAGTAGCGAACACACATCAATTGATCAATAAAGAAACTGGATATTAAATTGAACAAACCAGTAACAAGAATTTGTCGTTGAAACAGACGAATCATATCAACCTAATAAAATTAGGTATTAGTTGAAGGGTTTTCCCTTCCTTAGCAAGGAGAGGAGATTGCTTCTCCATAACAAAAAATAAACAAAACTCAGTTCGAGGATAAATCCCCTGAAGCTGTATACGGTATATCTTCTTTTATACACCACCTGCCTTCTCGTGCTGTAGCCAAAATACAACAGCACACGAAGGCCCAAAATTCTGTTACAGAACAAACTAATGCAAGAACCAAATGTTGTCATGCGAAGTCATGGTAAAATATTGTTACGGTGCAAACAATTCTAGGCTTGAAGTAGTTATGAAATGTATATCAAGAACCAGTTACTATAGCTAGACATCAATCTAATCCAAAGAAACCTTAACATAGCTGAATTCAAAACAATCCTCAAACACAAATAAGAACAGTTAATCCCATTCTCCGAATCAACCACTAGAGATCCACAACATTCGCAAGTAAACGTGGAAGGCACAAAAATCCAGTGGAGACTGGGACTCGCGGGAGTCGAGGATCAAGACAATGCCCTAGAAACCAGCTCTGGCAATATTCACTCAAAATATAATTACTTTCATAGGAGAAAAGACTAGAAGAAGAATGGAAAACACCGGTATGAAATTAAACCCAAACCCAGCAGGAGACTGGGACTTCGAGTAAAGGAACATACCTGTGAAGTTGCTCTCACCACCAGGTGCATGTAAAAGGAAAATAACGCCAGCAGTTTCCCTTTGACACAAAAGTAACCGATCCCTACAAACAAACAGAAGTGTTGAATGCCGCTAATACTTGAGTTTTGAGTCAATAGAGAATGAGATGCCATTAGAAAACCGAAAAACATGATATCGTAGTCTGCATTAGAAAAACTTTACTAAAATAAGTAAAAATCATATTCTAGGAAAATTACTATTGGTGTCTCTGTACTCAGAAAAGAAATAATGTTGTCAGTTCACAAAGGTGCAACTTCTCTGGAATTAGCAAAATTATGTCAAATCAGTCATATGCACTACAAAACTGAAATGTCAAAAGCACAGAAAGAAGATAAAATCTGAAAACAACTGCGCCCGGCATCAACCTTTAGATGTGAATCATGTGATAAGTTCAAGTGGGACAACTCAAGCATTCTTCATGACACTCTATCCTGCACCATATTAGCAGAATATTTTCACTTCAAAATTGGTAAAAAAACCCATGGATCTGCAAGTGTTTCTCAAGATTACAGAATTGAAATCAATTTACATGACATTGTGTTAGCAATCCTTTTCGTATAATCAGCTTCCTTCTATTCTAATCCTCAAAAACATCATAACCTGAACTTATATCCCCATTGACAACGGAATCAGTATCTTTCATTAACTCCGTTAAGCCATCCAACAAAAGGTAAATTTCATCTCTCAGCCGATTTGTTGTGTCCCCCACCAAAAAGGGTGAAAATCCATCGCCCACATCAACCCAAGCACAGCCAGGATCCTTCCTCACACCCAAGTCCCTCATGAAAGTCCTCACTCTCGCTAGGTTGTTCCAACAACCAGCAGCAGCATACATGTTAGCAATTAACACATAGTAACCAGAATTTTCCGGTCTCATTTCTAACAGCTTCCCGGCTGCCCATTCCCCGATCTCCATATTTCCATGGATCCGACATGCTCCAATAAGTGTAGCCCACATAGCAGAAGTTGGCTTGTAAGGCATCCTTGTGATAATCTTCTTTGCTTTGTTTAGTAGACCGGCCCTCCCAAGGAGATCGACCATGCAGGCATAGTGCTCCAAATCGGGAGTTATACCGTATACACTCAGCATCTTTTCAAATAGCATTTGGCCTTGGATTACTAGACCGGAATGGCTACAAGCTGATAAAATTGAAACCATAGTTACATGATCTGGTTTTATGTGTAACAAGTTCATCTCTTCAAATAACTTCAGTGCAGCTTTTCCTTCACCCTGGACTCCATATCCCACAATCATGCAAGTATAAGTTACTTCATCCTTCTTCGACATTGAATCAAATACTCTTCTCGCCTGTAAAACCTTGCCCGATCTGGCATACATGTCCACAAGGGCATTCCGTAGCAATAAACAATCATCAAACACTACACGTTTTGTAATGTAGCAGTGGAACTCCTTCCCATGTTGAAGGTTTGCGACCCGAGCACAGAGAGGAAGGATGCTGGCAATAGTAACATAGTTAGGTTCAATTCCTGAACACAACATCTCCCTAAATAAGAATGAAGCTTCCTCAGCTCGATCCATGTGAGAATAACCAGAAAGCATGGAGTTCCAAGTAATTATACTCCTATCTTCTATCAATTCAAACAAAGTATAGGCTTTCCTAAGGTCTTTGCACCTAGAATACAATGTAATCAATGCATTATTAACATTATTATACCCATCACAACCACTACGAATCGAAAAACCATGAATTTCCTTCCCTAATTTAATGGCTCCATTGTGGGAACAAGCACTCAAACCAATCGTCAATGCTACCGAGTCCAATAAAATACCACAACTTATCATTTGAGAAAGCAACTCAAGAGCGCCCCTGAAATTACCTGTCCTCAAGCACCCACCAGCAATGGTATTCCAAAGTAAGATATTAACTCCAATACCCTCCATCTGCATGTTTCCAAACAGCTCAAATGCATCCGTCCACATGCCCTTGGAGGCATAACCAGAGATCATTGCATTCCAAGAAATTGAATCCCTTGTGGGCATTTTGTCGAATAAGTGACGAGCAACGTCGAGAAGCCCAAATTTCCCATACATGGAGACCAATGAATTATGCACAAATAAATTCCACTCCTGACAACGAGCATCAATGGACTTATGCACCTCCCTGCCAAAACTTATATCCAATTTTTCACCGCAAGCCTTGAGAACAGATGGGTAAGTGAAACAATCTGGCCTAATCCCCTTGTTGACCATTTGTTTATATGTAGAGAGAGCATCATCCAAAAGTTCATTTTTAACATATGAAGAGATGAGCAGATTCCAAGGTAGAGGATGCAATATATTTGAATTCTCAAGAATGATACGAGCCTCAGCATGGAGATTAAAGCTTGAGTAAAATGTAACCAGCTTGGGAACCAAAATGGGGTGTCGTTCAAACCCCAATCTAACAATATGTGCATGAAGTTGTTCACCCTGTGGTAATGATTTATGGTTGGCACAAGATAAGATAACAGAAGAGATGGAATGTAAGATAAGGTCACAAGTAGGAGAAGAGGCATGGAGCTGGACAAGAGAGATAGTTTTGAATGCTTTTGATAAATTTCCTTGGCTTGCATAATTATTGATGGATGTAAGAAGAGAATCTATCATAGAATCATCAACAGCTGAACCTGTTTCCGAAATACATAAAGCAGATGATTTCCCAAATTGTTTCGTTCCTTCCTTCCAGCTTTTAGGTATGAATCTCTGGATTTGAGATATAGAAAGGCCTCTTGGGATGAAACGAGAATAAGATGGTGGCATACACTATAAAGTATCTTCTGCACATAATAACATGGTAAGCAAGAACTGATCGCATGACTTTGCCCAAATTTGCAGCAGGTGTCTTGAGAAAACTGGCTAACAGGAGATCCACTTTTGATTATTAAGATCAGGGACAACTGATCAGATTAAAAAGAAAACCATATCTCTCCTGAAAAATAATTAGAGTAAGTGTTAGAAATAGCATATTTTATACAAGGCTTTTTAGCCAAAATGGTCCCTAAGATTGTCATAACTACTCATTTTAGTTCCTAAGATTTAAAATCAATAGAAGTGCTCCATGAGATTGTCCACCATCAATTATTTTGATCCTTCTGTGAAAAATCTTCGTTAAATTGAAGAAACCACCAGTTCAAGTGGAGGGGTTGATATGACAAAAATACCCTCAATTTAAAGGAGATTTTCACGGAAGGACCAAAATGATTGACAGTGGACAATCTCAAGGACCACTTCTGTCAATTTTAAATCTCAGGGACCAAAGTGAGGAGTTGTGCCAATCTCAGGAACCATTTTGGCTAAAAGGCCTTTATACAGTCATGAAATGTGAGACCGGTCACCATATGTACACATCTTAAATGGTTCATATACAATAACTTGAAAGTAGGGTGTGTTTAAATTTATGCGTGTGCTTGTGTGTGTGCATGAGGGAGTGCCTCAAACTACGACCAAATTGATCAGTAAAAGTAAATGACAAGACAACACATAACAGGTTTTGGTTAAGTACTTTGCAAAACAAAAAGTACCATGGCAAGTTACACAGTTTCTGATGTGGCCACTGGCACAGTAACATATTCTGAATTTTTGGGAACGCACAAGTAGAGTCTTATTCCTTCACAGCGCCCAGCTGCTTTTCTACTTTTCCACACCCATTGGCACAACAACCATTTTCTTTAAACTTTTATAGGCATAGGGAGTAGAATTTATGGTTGATTACTTTAGGATGTAATCACCGTTTAAAAGCTTAGGGTATAGGGCTAACTAGGAATCTTTTTTTTTTTTTTTTTTTTTGAAAAGAAACGATAGAATTTTATAAAACGAAAGAATTACAAAAGAGAAAAAGTTAACCACGTGGAAAAGATATCCACCTGGGGCTATAAGAGAACAAGCAAGGACCCCTAAAGAAAACTAATTGAACAGAGGAAAAGCTAGACCAAATCAAATAATGGCTGCTAACAAATCCCTAAAAATAGAAGAGAAATTGTAATCTCTAAACTCCGCTGAAACCGAAGCCCAAAGGGCTGCCCAGTGTTTTACTCTATCCCAAAGCTCCTCAACCCCCACTCCCTTGTAATCCTCAAAGACTCTTTTATTACGCTCCAACCAAATGTTCCAGAAGAGGGCCATCAATAGAGATCCCCACAAAGTTTTGGCTTTCCTCCCTTTCCCTAGGCCTTCAAATTTAGTGCTTAGGAGCTCAAAACAACCCCTTGGGGTGACCCATCTTGCTCCGGCTTCCTTGAGCAATTTCCACCAGAGTTGAATGCTATACAGACAATGGAGGAAAACATGGTTGGCGCTTTCGTCCCCGGATTTGCACAAAGTGCACCAATGGGGGGAGAAGCATGCAAAAGGCATTCGTCTTTGGACTTGATCACAAGTATTAACCTTCCCGAGCGCCACTAGCCACACAAAGATTTTGACTTTTGGAGGCACTTTTGCTTTCCATATCTGAGCGAAAGGGGGAAATTGTTGCACAAAAAAAGGACTAATCTCTTGTAACAAAAAAAGGACTCTGAAAGAGAAAGTAATTCATTGAATTGAACTAATAAAATTGGCAATTGTGGTCCTATTTAAGTTTTCCTTCTTTCAAGAAGGAAATTTTGCATTGTTTCCCTTCAATCTGTATTTAAAATCAGTTGTGATGCCAAAGGTCAGTGTGATGCTGGAATTTATCTAAATACTCTATTGCAGTGATTCCAATACCCTTTTGGTGTGATACCAAAGGCTGGGGTGTGTCCGGATATCTACCCCGTTCGTATTTATTCCTATTGTCCTGCATCACGTATTCCAGTAAGGAACCAGAAACTAAGACTAATTCCAGTAAGGAACCAGAAACTAAGACTACCCATTAGAAGCAGTAAACTTGTCAAACATCAAAAGCCCTTATGGTGCACTTGGAGAGGGGATTTTAAGTTCCATGTAACGTATGACAAATTTGTTAAGAATGCACTACACAAAGTAGATAAAGGGACTTGAAAATCACTAGATGCAATACATTTGATAGAACTTTCAAATAACTCCTTGAAGGTGTCATTTAAAGGTGTTTCAGTAGTAGCTTAACAGTGCTTGAGTAGTTCATTGGTAGTGTTCTTGTGATGCATTTTAACAATAGAGCTTAAATTTCCTTGGTACTTGAAAGTCTCTCATCCAAACATAAGGTCAAGGCCTAAGCGAGAGATGTTCTATAACTAGAGTCAAGCTCAAAACAGCATTGGGCTTCTATGAATGATGAATGAGTTAAGGAGCTGTATCATCAAGTTCAAATGATTATTAAACATATAAATGAGGTATTCATCAATTTCCCCCTGAACTTGTGACTATTGGCCAATTTCCCCCCTCAACTTTAATTTTGGCCAATTTCCCCCTTCAACTCTCATAATTAGTCAATTTCCCCCCTCAACTTTAATTTGGCCAATTTTCCCCCTCAACTCTCATAATTAGTCAATTTGCACCCTACTGTTAATTTTTTTTTTAATTTTCCATCTATTCTTTTTTTTCAATCTTTCTAATAACTTCCAACAAAGTACTAAAATTAACATAAACTCACTTGCATAATATACGGTAAAATGTACAAAAACATAATACAATTAGTATGTGATATGGGTTGATTATAAGAAAAAATTATGAATCAGGTTTAAAGCATGTAGAAGAAGAAATAATAACAAAAAGACATAATAATCCTAAACTCATGGATCAGACCTATTTCAATAAAATAGGTTATTCTTAATAAGGAGTCGAAAATTATGAATTGACTAGCCATTTTTGCACTAAAGCTCGATTCTCTGCAATTTACTTTAACTTAGCTTTCACTTTTATAAAGAAAATTGTATTCACATACAAAAATGTACACATCAATCCTTTTCGTTATCAATTTTGTATAGTAAAAAATCAAATAAAATTACTCCATACTGATTTATTATGACTAATAATACTATCTATGATAAATTGTAAAATTCTAAATTTTAATCTATTTGTAATAGGATAAAGATATAGGAAAATGGTTAACATACATTTTATTTAGTTTCTTACACACACTTGTTTAATTATGATCAAATTAAAAAATTAATAGTAGGGTGCAAATTGACTAATTATGAGAGCTGAGGGGGAAATTGGCCAAACTAAAGTTGAGGGGGGAAATTGACTAATTATGAGAGTTGAGGGGGGAAATTGGCCAAAATTAAAGTTGAGGGGGGAAATTGGCCAATAATCACAAGTTGAGGGGGGAAATTGATGAATACCTCAATATAAATATATAGGCACCAAGGGCATCCACACGATTTATAACCAGACTTGGAATTGTGCTTGGAAAAACTGGCTATATCAGATGTTAAATGATAGGCGGACCAAGAATATCAAGTCCATTCTACTTGGAATGAAACAGACATTGGGAGCGGAGAGGGGAATATTTTTTACATATACGCGTTTCCTTTTCAACATTTTTAAGATGCAAGTCTTGGAAACCTACACAAACGTGTTCTTCCTATTTACAGAACTCTGCAGAGTATAATTACATGAACAAAATGACATCCTGTTTTGACTTCTCTTGATATCAATAAGAACAAGAGACTAATATTCCATAATGATTATGATCGGTTTCTATGATATCAAATGATAATGACTATTATCGGATATCTGCAGCGATTTCTCGAAAATGCATAAAATACAGTTGAATGGAGAAATTGAAGACAAATTGGGTTTAGGGTTTTTTATATTGAACAAAACCAATAACAACATTGGTTGACTGACTGAAATGTAAGCGAGGAAATAGGAATGAGAGTGAGGGAGGAAGAAAGGTACCGCAAAACCAGTGAGAGCAATCGGCCTGACAAGGAGTGTCGAAGTTGCCATGGCAAACTGAACACACATCGCCGCCTGGAGGGCCGTCCATTCCGATCTCTCCTTCGCTTACCCCGCCGTTCGTCTCTTAGATACTCTGTCCCCCATTAATCATGACGTGCCACGCAAATGGATAAACACGTATCGCTTTTTGTTCTGGAAATTCACTTTTGGAAGAAGAAAATAATTTAAATTTAGAAAAAAAAATTATAAATTGACGTCCGCTGCTTCCGAAGATTCTTAAACGTACTAATTTAAAATTTTTGCGTGGAAAAAGAAAATTTAGAATTTGAAATCCTCTAATTTTTAAGTTTAAATTTTATATAAATAAGTATCATTTCCACCATCACATGTTACCACCACCTACCACCACCACTCACGATTATCATCACCATCATGGTTGACAGCACCACTATATACGGTTGTGGCCTTGTCACTGCCACCACCAATATCACAACCTATCGCCACTACACACTATCATCACCATCGTCACCACCACCACTACTGTTACATTTTCTAACTAGTATCTCTCATATATATTAATGACTATATATATACACATTAAATTTCGTATTCAAATTTTGTTGTTATTTTAGGTTAACCAAACAAGAAAATTAAACAAAATTTAAAAATAGAAATTTTTTACTAATCTTAAATGTCTCATCTAACACAGTGTTTGAAATATCGTGGATATGCTTGATATTTCCACGGAAATATTCAAAAATTCAGGGAACAATATGGAAAGGGGGTGAAGTCTAAACTTCACCTCATATCTGCGATATTTTCGAAAATCAATCAATTTTCTCGATATTTCCATATTTCCAGGAAATATCCACTGCTTGCAGACTTGTGGTCACATTTTCTAGGGAGACACAAGATGAATGACAAATGTCTTTTGTTCTCTCTTGAACATGAATTATTTTTGCGTTTTCATCTATACAAATCCGGGATTTCAAGATCAAGCTTTGAATTCGACGTATTTGTCTAGTGCACGGTTTCTGAGTACCAGTAGTACCAAGATACAACAACTGATAAGGAAGAATACGAGGATAAGCATATATGGACGAATGAATGAACTTGTGGTTGAGATTTTGTGGGCCCCACCCTCTTCAGAAATGTAAATAACACAAGGTGTATCGTGGTTCACCCCAATGTTTGGGCTACGTCCACATTGATTATTGTATTTATCTTAGAGGTAAGGGAGAAAACCTCTGAATATGAGAGGGGATGTGAGAGGGGTGAGAAGGCTTCAGAAATGGCATCTTCTAGTTGTGAGGGTGAAGAGTCATTTTATAGAATAAGGGCTCCTCACTTATTACATATTTGCCCCTTCCTTTATTACATAATTACATTTAAGTCCCCCAAGTATTTATACGAGATCTAAATACGAAGGTCCTAAGTATGGTATAAACAGTAATCCCCCAAGTCTTCAGTCAAGAGAGTCTTTTGGCTGGAGACTTGAAATTCAGTCCATGTGTGGGCCGAAGTAACTAGATGTCGTCTTGAACTGTTACTCGATATGAGGCGGTGCTGAATCTGAAATGATGCTCAACCAGAAGTAGCACACGTTGCGAGGCTGCTCTGCTTGTGGCCTATGTTGCCTTGGTTGGCTCGGCTTGTGGCGTTAAAGGTGAGGAAGTCCCTTTTATAGAATAAGGGTTCACTCCTCAATACATGAATGATAGGCTAGAGTCGATGCTCTTTAATGATGGTGAGGGAGTCATTTCTATAGAATTAAGGCTCGCTCCTTAACACATACGTGATGGGCTAGAGTCCCCCAAGTATTTTTCATGAGTGCTCTCTAATGAAAGTGAGGGAGTCCCTTTTATAGAATAAGGGATCGCTCCTCAATACATACGTGATGGGCTAGAGTCCCCCAAGTATTTTTCATAAGGCCTAGTTGAGGCCCAATATATGGTACATAACGTAGTCCTCTAAGTTTTCAGTCAATAGAGTATGTTGGCTGGAGACTTCAAATTGAATCCATGTATGGGCTGAAATGGCGGTTGTTCGGATGCGGTATTTGTATACCCTACACTGAAGCTTTGTAGGTGAAGCTTTGCAAGTGAAGCTTTGAGGCTGGAGCTCTGTAAATGAAGCTTTTGAAGCTAGAGCTTTTGTAAATGAAGCTTTTGAAGTTAGAGCTTTTGTAAATGAAGCTTTTGAAGTTGGAGCTTTTGTAAATGAAGCTTTTGAAGCTGATTAACGTGAGTGATGCTCATGAATGTTTATGTTAATTGACATAAGTGATGCTCATGGATGTTGACATGAGTGATGCTCATGAATGTTGACATGAGTGATGCTCATGAATGTTTATGTATGATTGAATGAGTGATGCTCATGAATGTTTGAAGTACTGGACGTACTTTTGATCACCTGGTTGGCAATAATAGCAGCGGGGTGCCGAATAATTTTTTTGTGGTACTGGACGTACTTTTGATCACCTGGTTGGCGATAATAGCGATGGGGTGCCGAATAATTTTTTGTAGTATTGGGCGTATTTTTGGTCACCTGGTTGGTGATAATAGAAGCGGGGTGCCGAATAATTTTTGGTAGTACTGAGCGTACTTTTGGTCACCTGGTTTGTGCTATTTTAGGCTTATAGGCCTTCGCCCTCCACACAACATTCCAGCCCATTTATTTTAGGCTTTGCCATTTTTTTTTTGAACCTCTGATGGGGTTTATACAGATGTCTCCGAAAGATAAGAAAAATAAATTACATCATTTAAAAATAAATCTGACCCTCTGCTCAATGGATCACGTCCATAATTCTCTTTTCTGCATGCCATCACCACCGCAATTATGTCTGCTTCTTTTTATTTTCTTTCGCTTTCTGCTTTTCTTGATCTCCCCGCTCCTTCTATGTCCACCCATGTTATTTTGTAAGGTATCTTTTGCTTGCAAGCCCACTTGCTTTTCTTGGATAGCCTGGTCGTGCTCATCCATTCTCACTCCTCTTTTTTTGCTTTTGCTTTCCCATGTGCTCCCGCAGAGAATGGGTTGAGAGAACACTGTTGTAAGGCTCCACAACTGTCATTTGGGGGAGGCTGTAGCTTTTGATAAAGAAGTTCTTTTCCTGCACGTTTCTGCCTTCCCAGAGGTCATTTTTCCTTTGGAAACAATCATCACAAGAATCTCATCCTCACATGACCAATTCCCCTCCTCCGGAGCGTCCTGTGAGATCCCCGGTGATGAAGATGAGAGAAGGGATGATGAAGGAGAGGGTGGGGCCCACAAAAATCTTGAAGTCAAGAGCTTTGTCGGGATGGTGGATGTTGAAAGCCATCTATCCGTTGAAGGGAAAATGGAAATTGTATCATCATATGCATCTCGGACCATTTAATAGCTGACGAATCCTTGCTCAGCTTGATGATTCCGAAGGTCTTGATGACTGCAAATAGCCACTGCGTACAAAGTACGGAGAAACACCTTCCTTACCTTCATTAAATCCTCTCTTTTCGGAGCTGTTGATCATCCATTCCACTACCTCACTCTCGTAATCATACACCATCAGCAGCTTCCTACTAGTCTTGAACGGGTAAGATTCCGCCACAAGTTTAAAAATTGATGTTCTGTTGGCAGTGAAAACCATGTTGTAATCATTTTTCGATATGTTAAGAAAATCCATAATCCTGTTTCTCATTGCAAATTCCAGCTTTGATTCCTGGCCGCCATGAAGTAGCTGCGTCTTCAAACTCCCTGTCTTGTACAACAAACTAAAGAAGGGGAAATCCGACCATACTTGAGAAGAAGATTCGTGATTTTGCAGCTGAGAAGAGGAGAAGAGGCTGATGCCAATATAATCAAGGCAGCTATGGTTTGACTGTGAGAGATGGTAGTACTCTTTAGCTCGTATCCGATCAACTTCCTCAGTCTCATGGTATTTGGGATAAATGTTGGTGAAGTCAGCGAATGACTCGTGCAAAGACAGGAGAGACTCGTGGTTGGTGAACACGGTGTTTGGGAATATGGATGATGAAGTCGTAGCTGCAAAGTCACAGCGACAAGCTGCAGAAGTGCTTCCGGAATTGGACATGGTGCGGTGGTGATGTGCTGACAACTTCTGTAACGGGCTGGGGCAGCAGCCACGAAGGCATACTTCTGACCTCTTTCCAGCAAGGTGACTGCATCTCTCTCCCTCTCTCTCTCTCAACAATTTTGGTAAAGTGTGTGGGGATTTTGTTTGTTGTTTTCTGGGTTTTTTTTTGTGAGGTGGGTTTTGAGCAAATTGGGGACTCGGCTACTACCGTGAGGCTGGTTCGGTGCTCTAAGTGTGAGCATCTTCTTCCAGAGCAAAGCAACAGTGGCCATGGCTCGTCAAGCGGATCGGTAAATGCTTTGCCGTAGGAAACCAAAACCGACGAGATGAAAATAACGGCGAAGCACATGCACACGCTCCTTTTGGTGGCCATATTCTCGAAAAATCCAAATTTCTGGAGACGAAACCGACGTCGGAGTTATGAATTGAAATGCAGAAAAGCTATGGTTCATAGATGACAAGATGTACGTGTAGAGGAAACAACGGGCACAGAGAGAGAGTAGAGAGGGTTTGGAATGCGTGCTGTGGAGGTTGCAAAGAGTAAGAGAGAGAGATATTTTGAGTTTGGGTTTTTGTGTGGGTTTTGCAGATTCACGGTGGAGGTGAAAATTTGAGAAAGAACCAACACAACTTTTTGTATTGATTCCCACAGACGGCGCCAAATCTTGATGCACAAAACCGGAGGTCTTGGGACAACGTAAATCCAACCGTGAATCTGCAGAAATGTAAATAACACAAGATGTATCGTGGTTCATCCCAATGTTTGAGCTACATCCACACTGATTATTGTATTATCTAAGAGGTGAGAGAGAGAACCTCTGAATATGGCCTCCTCTAATTGTGAGGGTGATGAGTCCTTTTATAGAATAAGGGCTCCTCACTTATTACATATTTGCCCCTTCTTTTATTACATAATTACATTTAAGTCCCCCAAGTATTTATACGAGATCTAAATACGGAGGCCCTAAGTATGGTATAAACATACATAAAAGTAAAGTCAAGGATGATGTAGATAATAGTATAGGCACTCATTGTTGTAAAGCAAGTTTATCTATAGTGGTTACAAAGTCAAGAATGATGTAGATAATTGTGGAGCCAAAAATAATCACAAGGCAACACGTGTATTTTAGATAAAAGAGGACAAAAATACCCTTGAGGCATAACGGGTTTCCTACGCTCGAGTAGCGGGCAATCATCCCTCAGCCAAGTAAAAAAAGGCCCAAAAAAGGTAACAACTCAAATTATTTCATC